AGAGATCATGGCATGGCCATCCTCCCTGGGGGGTGATTTCTTGCTTTCTCTCTGTGTCTTTCTGGCAAGCGCACGTGCCCTATAACATAAACCTCTAAGAAAAAAAAAGAGAGAGAGAGAGAGAGATGAGTGGGGAGAAGGGAATGGACAAATGCAGAGGAAAGCGAAGGCATGAAATATTTGATGCTCCAAGAAAGCATGGATCTTGGCCATGCTATTACCCAGGATGGACCTCACCACCAGCCCTTGACAGAGCTCCCAGTTCACTGAGAATGTGTTCAATGAATTCATGAATGGATTCTTGCTGAGAGGAGAGAAGAATAAAACTACAAAGACAAGGTCTGTCAGGTATCAGCAGAAAACAGAATCTCCTCCAGACAATTCCAGAGAAGAGACTTCACTGAAGGGATGGGTAGAAACTGAGTAGAGTGAAAAGAAGCAATAAGGGGTGCAGAGGCCCCCAGACACTAGCCACAGGGGCTGAGGCAGTCCCTAAGCTGAAGAGGCTGGAACAGTCCCTTGGCAGCAAGAATGTTGCTAGTGCCAGAGCGCGGTAGTAGAAGGGTATGAGGAGGAGATCCACTGACCTCTCCTTTCTCTGCCCTTCATTCTGCCAGTGCTTCCCATGGGCTGAACTCAACTAGAACCCAGAGAACACAAGAACAAAGAAGAGAGGTTGCAGAATGGATCTGGGAATGGGAGCGAACAGAAATCATCAGCCCATAAGGTGAACTGAAAAAGGCCGGTTTAAAGAAAAAAAAAGTCATGCTTTCACTTCTCAATGTCTTCATTCACTGCCTACTTCCCAGAGATATACGGGAGCCCATTTGTCTCATGTTAATTGGATTGATAAGTTATTAGCTGCCAATGGCTATTGGAGATTTTAGATGGAAAAGTGTCACAGTATGAAGCTCTGGGAAGCTTTATCCACATTCACATTCCAGCCTCAGACACTCCTTAACCACAAATACAGGCCAGTGTTACTTCAAAGTTCTGTGTCCTGATTTTCTTATCTATGAAATGAAGGAAATACAGGAGCTGCCCCATAGTGTCGTATGGATCAAATGAGATAATCTAATGAAAGTGCTGAAGTCTAATGGTATATCACCTTTTTAAAGAGCTTGTGTAAGAGAGTTAGGCAAATTTGTCTTCTGTTGAAGAATTTCCTCTCGAGTCAATGTTAGAGCACGGTTTTAGTGAATTTGGTGATCATAAAGACTAGAATCTCAAGACACTGTTTCTGTATAGTCAGGTTAGGAATTTCCGCTTCCTTACACATTGATATTTCTTGCCTCTAAATAATATTAGAATGTTAGAGAGACTTTAGGTAACACCAGTGAGGTCCACCTGCTTGTGCGCTCTACATACAGCTGAGATTTAGCTACCAGTGCATTTCTGCAAATTGCTTCTTTGGCATTTCAGCATGTTATTTGAAAGAACAACTGAAGCAGAAAGAAAATCAAGCAACAACAGGAGGGCTTCGTTTTTAAACTCATTAGTAGGCAAGCCGAAAAATTTGCTTAGATCAGTTGAGTTTCAAATGTAAGAACTGGGTTCTGATTTGAAAGTCGGTAGCTACAGGTTCAAAGTCTAAAGCATGTTTTCCTCACCCATTTCCTTATTTTTCCAGCCAGAGGTTCACATGCCTTTGTAATAGGTGAGATGTGTAACCACGGAGTGCAGTGTGCTCCTGTTTACACCATCATTAACATTTAAACAGACATACATTTTATGGAAAGACTGGCTCTAATTATGATTTTTACTCCTTTCCCCCACTTCCAACAAAGTGTGTTTTTGTTTTTTGTTTTGTTTTATTTTGTTTTGTTTTATAGCACTGCTGTATAGGAGACATTATTGTGATTGGGTTCTTGATGAATATATGTGGAAATTTTGAATATTACAATGCATTTATAATTCTGGCACAACAATTTAACTTGCATAAGCTAGATAACATGAAGATGTGTTTTAAATATCATTTTGATACTTTGGACTTGTAGTTATTTAATAAGACTTCATGATGATTCTTAAAGATAAGATTTCTATTATCATAATGTACAGTTCATATAAGTAAAGAATTGCAACTTTTCCAGTGAGTTAAATTTTTTTTAGTTGCCACAGGGCATGTGCATTAGCCAGAGAAAGAGACAGAGAGAGACAGAGAAAGCACCCCCTATGGGGTACGATCATGTCACAATCCCTTCTCTTCCATTTTCTCATCCTGCCAGGATTTGGGGCAGGCATGCACACATACCCAACATCTTATTCTTTTTTAATTTTAAATTATTTATTTTATTTGTTTATTTTTTATTTGCTCACCAGAGAGACAGAGAGAGAGAGAGAGAGAGAGAGAGAGAGAGAGAGAGAGAAAGTGAGAAAGCAAGCCACTGGGTCCAGGACCTGAACTGCAGTTGGCCATGTGGGAGTCCAGTGACACAACCACTATGCCATGTATTGTGACCCCCGACATATTTTTCAAGTTGTTAAGACTGAGATATGAACCACTGATGGCCATGTAGGATCCAACTCCCTTATCCAGTAGGCTATGGGCCTAGCCTGAGTTAATTTTTATAATGCACCTAAAAAAAATGATCTCTTGGGCTATAAAGCATGGTCTTCACAAACTTCCTTTGTCATTGCTTAGTAATGTTTGAGGTTTGCAGACAGACTTCAGAAAGGAAAGGCAGCAAGCCTTTTTTTTTGTTTTGTTTTTGCTATAGAGTGCCTGCACTTGCTGGAGAGAGACAGAAATGGAAAGTGAGAAGCTCCCCCCCCCCCCCGGGAGGGTTGGGCCCCTCCACAACGAGGGGATTGGGCCATGCCACAATCGCTTCTTCTCCATCCTCCCCTTAGGATTTTGGGTACACATGTCCAGTATGTTTTTCAAGCCTCTGATTACGGGACTTGAACTGTGTTGCCAGCCATGTGGGATCTAGGCATCTTAACTACCATGTCACCGGTAGCCCTCACCAAACTCTTAATCTGGTTATATATAGGAGAGAGGTGTAAAACACAAGTTTAAAAACAATGTCAATCCCTCCTCAGGGGTCTCTGATCCCCCCCTTCCTAAAGAATTATTTATTTAATTTAATTTATTCATTCATTTATTTATTTTAATTTAATGAGAGAGACACACACACACACATAGAGACAGAGAGAGAAAGCAAGAAACAAGCCACCAGGTCCAGGATTTGAACCATGGTCGGCCAGGTGGGAGTGTCCAGCACCTTAACCACCATGCTACTTGCTGGTTCCCCCAATCCCTTTTATACCTCTCTTTTAGAATCTGTTGTCCGAGGCCATGGTAAAGAACACGAAGCCTGCATTAGAATACTGGCTGCATCATTTACTAACTGTGCCCTTGCACAAGTACAAAAACCTTTCTGTGACTCAGTTCAACCATCTGTAGAAAAGAAATGACAATAATTCTCCCTAACAGAGTTGTGAGTAGAAACTTACTTGAAATAAGTAAGAGCTATTATTTGGTTATTAATAATTAATATGTTTACAATGCCCTCTATTCTAGTAAAATGTGACCTCCTGAGGGTAGTGGCCACCCTGTTTTATTTACCTTCCTTATTTCTGAGCCATAATACTACGTCTAACAAATAAGAGATGTTCAAGAAAGCTTTACGAATACATGAATGACTGAATTCCACATGGCCAAGTAATGTGGGATGTCACTGATGCTTTCATCAGTGTGGACCTAATGGCAACTGTCCTACCCTGCCTATAACCGTTGTTTCTTTCAGCCGTCACTGTCTAGCTTATGCTCTGAAGGTGTTCTGAGCCTGTCTGTACTGGTCCAGGTAACCAGCAGATGGGTCAACTCATGAAGACAAATCTATAGACCGATAAAGGTCAACTATGAAGAAAGTTACTTTTAAAACACATCGGCCTTCTCAGTGCTAGAAACTTTAATCACTTTTCAGATTCCCATATGGGAATTCCAATCTAAATGATAAGTCCAGTAGGTCAAAAGGCACTTAGTCCATGTGGAAAGTCAAAGTTGACAAACCAGTCAGTACTTCCCTTTGGCACCATTCTCTTCGGCAGCTGCAGCTTGAAGCTGTTGAGCAAAGCTACACTTGCCTCAGACACTTTCTGGGAAGAGAAAGAGTATGTAAAAGTGGTTGAAGTACACCTTCACAGAGGATGAGTGTCACCTTCTTCATTTCCCCAAACTTTACTCAATCTTTGACTTTTAACTAAGAGAACTTTATAAAAATGTAACATGTTTAATATGTATTTAGAATATCTTGCGATGAAAAAAAAAAAGATCGTGTTCAATAAACATACAATAATTCCTAATATTTGTCTCTGCAGTTAAAGTCTCCTCAGCTTCCATCTAGCCGTGTGTCGGCCCCAATTCTTGCCCTCTTGCTTATGCTGAGTCTGTACTTGAAAAATACTAGACACACACACACACACACACACACACACACACACACGCACACACGCTGTATCTAT